TCTTGCGAGCGCTAGTTCTTATTTAAAAAAAAAAAAAGAATGAAACAAATCGAAGGCCGAAGTGCATCTCAACTCTCCACGCCGACTTTCGAGTAACGTCTCTGGGGGCCCACGTGGTTTCCCCCTGGGCCCTTTCTTCAGAGACCCCAGCCGCTTCGTCCCTGATTGTCGACTTTCAAAGGTTTAGCCTCGTCGAAGGTCGCGGCGAGCGATGGACACAAATGACGGTTCGCCACGGGGCTGATGGCGAGTGTAGCAGCGGATGGGGACAGGGTTTGTTGACTTCCGCGTATCCTCCAGAGACGCCGTCATTTTCGTTCCCATAGCCGCCACCGGCGGCTGCAGATCGGCAAATAATTCGTTTTTTGCCTAGCGATTACGGAGCAGAATAGCCGTTTTTTGTGGAAAGGTGACGCGTTTTTGGTCACTTGGGCTTGTATGAACAATATAAAAAATGCAAATTGGCAATTCTTTCAACATTAAAACCGTTGCACTGCCCCTTTAATTCTGTGCATCCGGCGAATGTAGCACCATCGCCTTCCTTGCCCGTTAGGCGAACACAACCAAATACTAGCATACAGAAAACCAGACATGTACAAGTTACCCCAAAAAAGTAATTAAGTTACTGAGTATTGACTTCAAAAGTAATTTGAGTAGCGTAGAAATTACTCAAATGAAAAGTAATTGAGAAAATGACAGATTACCGTAAAATGTAGCGAATTAGTTTTGAAGTTACTTTTTATGTTTTTTATGGTAAAAAGAAAGTACATGGGTGTTTTTTCGTTAGCGAAATTGTACTAGCCAAATATGACTCGGCTTGTTTTTTCACAGATATGTTTTAATAGCTGGTTCTGCTTCTGCGGTTCTAATTGTTTTGTACCTTCTTGTTTGTTTGGTCAGCGATGTACTGCGACTGTGGCATTTCTACTTTGAGGTTTAGCACTGCCTGAGCTTGATTTTTTAGACAGTGTTTGCTCGCTTACAGTGTAGCGTAAAGTACATCTAAAAAGTACTTGAAGTAAAGTGCAAAGTAAATGATAGGCGATGTAGTACTTTAAGTAAAGTAGTCAGTACACCGGGTGCAGTGTACTTGAAATAACGTACTATAAATACAATATATTTTAAGGTAAAGTACAAGTTATTTTAACACCACATTTCATGATTCCCTTTCATTCCCCATACAGTGCTTTTTTATCTGGTATGGATTGCTTCAGAGATAATCGGATGTGCATTAATGTTTTACGTAAATGGCAGCAAATATTGCATAAAGTCAAATCGCCGCAGAGTAGTTGTTTTACTCTCGCTGACAAGCTATTTGACACAATCAACTTATAAGGCACTTATTTGTGTTGGTCTTATAGCCGCGATTACTTCACTCAGAGAAATGACCACATGACGTCTCGAAAGAACGCGTTTTTACACGACGATACGCCATGTTTTGTTTTCAAATTCAGGGAATGTACGTACATTGAAGTCGGGAGTTATACTTTGGACTTCAACTTCGGACTTCGGACTTCGGAAAGTACAAGTACACTCTTAGAGAATGTACTTCAAGTAAAGTACAAGTTTTCTAAATAGTAGTATTTTAAGTACCATGTACTTAGAGTATTTCTCAGCACTGCTTGTTTAATATTTTTCATATAAAACTGGTGGGAGAATTGCTAAGGTTTCTCGAACGATCTTTGAATCTTTGAAGATCTGCATCTTCTGAGTTGGGGGGGGGGGGGGGGGAGGCAACGCAAAAAGGTCCCCTTGGCGTTGCCCTTTAGCACGCAATTGTACGAGTACAGCACAAACTACGGTAGCACCAGATGAGCTTCAGAGCAGGTGCTGCATTTTGTTGCCTCTTTTGAGTGTGGATATAGTGTGCGCACCTCCTGTACTGGGCGAGAGTTTCTACGTTGGGTAAAAGCGGTGACCAGCCCTTTCTTCAAATGGGTTAAATCTCGCAGTTACTCGGCCTCTCTTGCGTCGTGTCTGCTCGCACCCCACGCCTCGTAGCAGTGTTGTTGCAGTGTGTGGGGGGGGGGGGGGGGGGGCTCGTAAAAGTTTTGGGGGGTTTCAGACTCTCCATACCATTTTCTGCATGCCACATGCTTCCCCCTCTTTGCAAATATCAGCTTATCTTCCAACATCTTATCTTTTTTGTGCAGGAATGTTTGTTGATAGGCAAAAGAAATGATTGTTGATAGGAAAAACAATCCCTGAAATTCGAAAGTAATTTGTAACTTAAGCGGAAGTTACTCAGAAAAAGTAATTAAAGCAAACTACTAATTACCGAAATAAAAATGTAAAAGAAAGTTACTGAACTAAGAAAAGTAGTTAAACTATATTATTTCATTTCATTTCATTTATTGGTTCCCCTTAAGACCCACGAGGTGTATTACAAAGGGGGGACATTTGGCAGGACAGTGTCAAAACAAAAGAACGCTAGTAATATAAAACAAGAAAATTATCACAGATGGAGATGAACGGCAACATTATCGGCGAATTTCTGTGGGTCTATTATTGTGACAATGGCTTCGGGTAGTTGGTTCCAGTCACTAATAGCAAGCTGAAGAGGCGAGAACTTGTAAAGGTTAGTTCTGGGAATGTCAAGGTGTAATTTGCAGGGGTGGTCAAGTCAGCGTGAGATAAAAGGGGCAGGTTTACAATAGATCGACTTACGAGATGGAGAGTAATAAAAAAGTTTGTGAAGCAATTTCAGTTTGTTTAACGTTCTACGGTCTTTCAAAAGAGGAAGCTGTACAGATGATTTTAGAGAGGTTACACTTACTGGGAAGTTGTAGTTTCGCAAAATGAAACGAGCTGCTTTATTTTGAATTGACTCTAATTCTTTTTCTAAGAAGACTTGGTGAGGGTTCCAGATGGCTGAAGCATATTCCAGAATGGGTCGTATTAGAGCGGTATAAGCTGTTAGTTTAGTTTTTTGAGATGCGAGGTGGAGGGAACGTCGGAGAAAACCGAGTGATTTGTTAGCTGTGGCTGATATATGGTTAACATGATGTTCCCAAGAAAGATTACTGCTTAGGAAAACTCTGAGGTACTTATAGTGCACCACTTGCTCTATGTGGTTGTTGAAAAGAGTATAATTAGATTTTGTCGGAACACGTTTAGTACTAAAGACCATGAACTCAGTTTTTTGAACATTGACCTCCATCTGCCATTTTCCACACCAAGACTCAATCTTGACAAGGTCATTTTGCAAAGTGCTACAGTCATTTACATTATGAATTCTAGAGTACATCACACAATCATCCGCGAACAATCTTAGAGTGGAGTTAATACAGAGAGACAAATCATTAACATAAATCAGAAATAATAATGGTCCCAGCACGGTTCCCTGCGGTACACCTGATCTTACTTGCATGGTCGTAGAAGACTGTTCATGAAGAGAAACATACTGTGTTCTAGATGTTAGGAATGATTCGATCCAATTTATAAAGCCTCTGTCGATATGAAAAGAGTGAAGTTTTTGAAGCAATCGACAGTGGGGAACTTTATCGAAGGCTTTTGAAAAATCAATGAAGATGGCATGAATATCTGTCTTGGCATGTAGGCTTTCATGAATATCTGTAGTTAATTCAGAAAGTTGCGATTCACATGAGAGAGACCGTCGAAAACTGTGCTGGTTTGCAAACAATAGATTATTGGAAGATAAGCGATTCATTATTTGTGAATATATGACATGCTCCATCAGTTTACTAGGTACACTCGTTAACGAAATAGGTCTGTAATTTGTTATACACATTTTAGAACCGTTTTTGAAAACTGGGGTTACTTTAGCATGTCTCCAGTCGACTGGTATGTCACAGGAGTATAACGATTAACCTGAGTGGAGTAGTTGAACTACGTACAAGTCTGCCAAGAAAACTAAAACCTCGTACGGCGATTGACTAATCGCTTTCTGTGGTTATGGCAATCGCCAATTAAGCCCCTTGAAATCTTCGAAGCTTCGAGAGGGTCGTCCTAATCCACTAGAACGAAGATCACCATGGAGCATCATCGTATTGAAGGCGTTTCTCGCCAAAATAAGCGTATTTGGCGTTGTGCATGCAATACACTTATCAGTCATGCCCATCTTCACAGGTTCCTCATAATGACATTGTTCTTCTTGCGTATATCAAAACAGAACATTTATAGTTCAATGCCTCCAAGGACCGACGCCACATGTGGTGGTAGTACGAAGTTGTACGTTTCTTTCGCTGGTATGTGAATAGACAAATCTCGGTATACAAGAAACGCATCTATAAGCTACCGGTCCCCAGCGAATTTACAAGGGCTCACTTAGAATGAAGAGGTTACAAAGAACATGCTCATATTATGAGCGAAAATGCCGACCATAAGGGAAGCTTGGCACTACTTTTCCATGATCCAGTTATTTAGCAATGACGGCGCTCAAATTATATATCAGTGTCCTGAAGAGGCTCGTCAACTGGCAAGGGCCAAGCTTTGAGACCATCAGCAAGTCGACACACATCGGAACAGCCTTCGTCGTCGCGTCGACCACTTTCGCCCGGAGACTGGGTTTGAATTTGGACTTGGATACGGCGCCGCGGTTTCATCGAAAAGCTTCGGAAATAATTCTGAACTATACAAGTTTCTTCGCCGCATATGCACAGCGTTATATAACACGAATGAGTTCACTGACCATTCTATAGCAAGGATGACGCGTGAATAACCCTATTGAGAGTTTTGCGATGATGTCCATACGACATTTCGTGCGACCAGTGGCGATGGCCGGAACCTTGCGGCTACGAAATCAGAATTGGTGTTATTAAAAACGAGTGTAACACCCAAATTCATTATTAAAGAAATGATCCAACTGCAGCTCTAAAGTTTTAATGGCTGAGGACTTCGAAAACAATGTTATTTTTATTTTTCATGTGTCATTTTTTTAAAACAAGCAGAAATAATAAACAACCACCTCAAGATTTGAATTGGATATGGTTTTAGCCATATTTGGAACTCGACTTGACACCGTTAGCGAGTTCACGTATTTACGAGTACCATCCAGTTGCTGTCCTTTTTTTAGCGCATGACTTCAGAGCTAACGGGTTTTCAAAACCGAATTGAATGGGCGTGCACACTCCTGTGCAGCATTCCTATTAAAAAGAGAAAAATGTAAGTTCAATATTTTAATGAATACAAGTTTTTCACTGAATAATATGACCCCGTCTATATTCAAAAATACCAAGAATGAGTAAACATAGCGACTCTTGGCGTATCTATATTTATTTATTTATTCAAATATTGAGTAGTTACAACAGTTACCTATTAATGCGCCGAATAAACCGCTGAATAAACTGCGGATGCTACACCAGTGTGGTTTGTGCCGGTGGGGTAAGCGGCCAGGCGTATAAACTATATGGGGCTAGTTGTTGTGAAAAGTCAAATGATTACCTAAATTTTGCTGATTATCTTCAACATTATTTTAAGTAAGCGTCTGAGTTGTTACAATTATAAACGTAATGAGCGTCATTGAAAACCACTAAAAAAAAAGTGTAAAAAGTTTTGGAACGCGCGGGAAAACTTATTATTCGTGCAGCAGGTGCAAGGCTTTTCGTAAGAAAACACGGATGATTAGAATTATCATTCGCGCTTTTTACAACTTGAGTGATATAGTGATTTTTGGTGGCGCTCAGGAACGTTTTAATGAAAACCATATATTCATTTTACAAAATGAAAAGTTACAAACCGATTTATTATAAATCATTTGATTTATTGTGAGGATTATCTCTATGCTATGTTCTCTACGTGCTGAACAAATATGCCCAAAAAAACGCATTGCCTAGCTTTATAACTTTTTAACAACATATCTCTAAAGCAAAAAAAAAACAAAAAACATCCTGTATACTTTTTCAGCTTAAGTTACTCATTTATATACATCGGCTTTACGGGGAATAAGATAGTACAGACGCTAGTTTACCTTTAATTCTAAACATTCTTGAAAACCATTTTATATCAATAGAATATGTAGCGCATCACTACAACAAATTTCATTTGATAGCCTCTTTTGAGGGCTTTCCACCCGAGGATGTATTTCATCAATTTACCACCTGTTATTTTCCAGTGACCTTGAAAAATAAAATAGAAGTTTTGCAAAGGGGCAACCTTAATACCGTACAGCAAATACACAACCAATGAAGTGTCTCACACCAACATGACCCCATACCGCAGATTGGGCGAGTTGGTAAGGCATTATTACGAACCAGCGCACAAGTAGACAGTTACTCAAAATCCAAACACACAGAAAAATACACGCACACAGCGCTGAACTATCAACTGATTTGTATTTGAAACTTCCTCTTCTTTGACCCCAAGGAATAGGTTGCCAAGGAAGAAAAGGGGAAAGACAAGGCAAAGGGAGGAAGGCGAAAAAAAAGAAAAACAGAGATGAATAGAAAAAGGAATATAGAAGACAAGGAAAAGGAAACTAATGGAGAATTATACTAATACAGACGAGTCCAAGAGTTACAAAAATTACAAAAATACTTACAAAATTATTCATGAACATATATAAACCAGGTGATATGCTGGTCTACTGTCGACTACACTCTTGGCGTAAATAGCTCATGTGATGCAAAAAGTCCAAGAGTTACCAAATTAGTTGTTAAGTAATATCAGAAGTAAACAAAAAGAAAAAAATTAGTGGTTATACTGGCTTACCGTCGAGAACACCTTCTGTCTAAATAATGCAGTTCTTTCCCCGATAAAGCTAAGGACGAAGTGCTAACAGGCTGGGCTTCCTGTCTTGCAATGTTCTCTGCTTCTATAATTTCTCGGGTGAGCTGGTTTTTACTCCTGCCTGACACAGCACAGTTGACCAGTCGCGCAAAAGAGCCACAATCCCTACAGTGAATACCTAGGTGATCGGAGTTGGCATTGGCAATGTTGTTGTGCTCTCGCAGGTGGTCGTTTAAACACCGCCCAGTCTGTTCAATGTACTTTTTCCACAGGAAAGGGGAAACGAATAAAATACCCCTTCAAGACATAGGACGAAATTGGATTTGTGTTACTTTTCGCAGCTGACGGTGCTGACTAAGGAGGTGTTTACTTTTTTGCAGAGGCTGTGAAGTTTGTGTGGTGCTGAAAACACTACATTCACATTTGCTCTGTTTGCTAGTTTCTTTAGACCATGAGATATGGTATGCATATATGACACGACTACCAGTCTGGTTGTCCTGTCTTTGGGCATTTTTGCAGCGCTACCGAGCTTGGTTTTTCTGAGGAGAACCTCGGTTACTGACGTCAATATGAATACAGGATATCCAGCGGACCTTAGCCTTGATACTTGTACGTCGAAGCTCATCTGTATTGGATGTAAGCATGACTTGCTAATAGAGTTCTTAGGGCATGCCCTCACTATACCTCTGTTTACAAACTTGGAATGTGCAGAGTTGAATGAAAGAAGAGGTTACTTTCCCGTGGGCTCATAGGACCAACATATGTGATAGGGTAGCACATACAGTCGAAGATCCAGGAATGGTAATGAGACCGGCAGTTCGTAGGTGAGTTCCAGAGGATTCATACTGTTCTTGAAATTGTAGAGAACCTCTTCCACGATGGCCGTGAAGTTTGTATCATTTGTAGCAAGGAAGATTAAAAAACCATGTGCATATCTACATACTTTCACAGCTCTTGATGTATCCAATATTATTCGTTGTAGACTCCTGTCTTGATGTGCAAGAAAGATGTCACTAAGGACTTGAGCAATGCTGCGTCCTATGCATACTCCTGTCTTTTGTAGGTAGGCATTTCCATCGCAAGCATCGAAGGTGAACTTCAAATCTATCTTCAGTCAGTCCAGAAACTGACTTTGGGACAGACCTGCCGCGTTCATAAAGGGTATGACACCAAAGGCATCAATGCTTTCTTCCACACATTTTAGGAGACGTTCTTGGGATAAGGAATATTATAGGCCCTTGATATCGATGCAAAATATTTTTAGCTCAGAGAAATCAAGCTCGGTAGCGCCGCAAAAATACCCAGAGGCAGGACAACCAGACTGGTAACCGTGCCATATATGCAGGGGTGGAAGCGCTGCGCCAATTGCGCCACCCTGCGCCAATTCACTTCCCTGCGCCAGCGTGCTCCAAAACGTCAGTTTCAGCTTTTTGTTTGTGTGTTTTCTCTAAATTTAGCGGAAAACTGTTGGCCACTGGCCACCATGTGGTGTGTACTTTTGTTTAGGCGTCAGTGCGGGTGACTCGTACCCACTCGACTGGGGCTCCGAACCACGTGTAACCGCAGGGTGAGGCGTCGATTTTAGTTCATCGAGAGTGAGATGTCGATTTTGACTACAAAGAGCGCTTGATATACGAACACGTCGGTTTGGTTTCGGGCATAGTTGGTTTGCGCGGTTGGAGCGCGCATGCAGTTGCCCGTGGTCCCGATTTGCCGTGATCGTGAGAGTTAGTGCCTCGGTACCGGTGGGCTATTTCGGCCATCCACATGAGCAGAAGTAAGTGGTCTTTACTAGCTTTACCTGTCATTTGGTAGCGTACCATATTTTGACACTTAGCCGTTAAGAAACACGTACTATGTTAGTTACGTTTGTTTTTCTTTGTGAACGCAATTAAGAAACACGCGCTGTTAGTTTCGTTTGTGTTTCTTTGCGAGCGCATGCACATGCGTCAACATGAGAAAAAATCAATGGTCTTTACAAGTTTTACCTGTTATTTGGTAGCGTACCATATTTGGACGCTTAGCCGTGAAGAATCGCGAGCACAGGCACATGCGTTCTCGAGCTCAATTTGTCTTGTCAAAACGAAACCAAAAGCATCACTGTGTGCGCGAGTGTGCACGCTCTCGTGTGTTGTTTCCCACCGTCAGACCACCGGCGAAAACAATACCCGCGATCTTAAGCGAGTTGGTTAATTGGCAGGGCTACACACTTTGTTTTCTTTCCTTTAGCGTGGAGGAGTGGGGGTTGCATCAGAAATGCCGTACAACACTCCCGCGCTGCCGATTCCTGTCGTGAACGCACCTTAACTCGCTATAGCCACTCTACTCGTACAAGTTTCGGGTATAGGTGTATCTGGTTGGGGGGGGGGGGGGGGGGTTGGATAGAGAGAAGCCGGTGGGCTTTTTGGCACGTAAGAAGGCAGCCTGCCCCGCAGGGATCAGCGCCTGATCAGCTACATCTCATTTTCAGTCTCGTTCAAACGGTCTTTTCTTAAAGCACTTCTACTGAGTGCACAAGAACTCATAAGCAAGAGTTCGGCAGTTAAGGAAATGGACAAGGTGGGGAGTGGACACCTCCTGCTAAGAGATGTGAACTCTAAACTGCCAAAGTACTTGAGCGCACAAAAGAAATGGACTCTGCTCTTCAAACTGTGAAAAAAGGTGAACTTCAGTTGTTTCTATGTACAGAGATTCAGCTTAGTCACAACCTTTTCTTTCTTTTTGAACATGGAAGCCTGTGGGCTCTTCTAGTCAGTATTTATGCTGCATATGTATTAGTGGCTGTGATAATTCTAAGACAATATATTTTTCCATCTAAAGTGATATAGATATAGCTTTGTATGTTAACTTTGGTGTAGGGATTACTGTATTTTATGAACAGGGATTAAGAGCATTCGTATTTAATGAAAACAGGTCAGCAAGGACTGCTTCATTTTGAAACATGTTGCGGTACCTTAATTTTTTTATGGAGACACGCAATGCACAACGTTTTATGGAGTACATAAGGTTACATTGCTCTTTTGTCGATGCTTAAAGTTGCATATGTACGAGTGACTGTGGTATTCTAAAGATATAAAATACATATTTTATTTCGCATCTGAATTTTTATCAAATGTCAGTAGCCTTGTATTTTGTCACTGAACTTGATATAGGGATTTTTAAGCAGTGATTGAACATGTGTATTCTTTATTAAACACAAACTGTAGTAGGCGAAAGTAGTTTATCTGACACCTTGTAGTAGTTTAGTTTTCTGGATACCTGTTTACAATTGGTCTATTAAATCGACGGTTTTGTACTGGCGTGGCTCAAGTTTTGCTTTTATTGTCGGGGCCTCCCATATAAAGTCTGTCATGACTCTGCCTGCTGCCGGAATGGTTTTCAAAGCCTTTCCTTTGCATAAATTGCCAATATTCCATAT